AAATCAGGATCCAGGCAGGTGCGATGGGGTGTCACTACATTTCCAGCAATGCTGAACACCCTTTAGCATTGAACACTGGTTGGTGGACAGGACAGGTGTTCCCGGGCAACCGTGACCAGATCCTGCCACACCTGGCTGCAGGGTGCCCAACAAGCCAAGGGATCACAGTGCAATGGCTCCACATCCTCAGTGAGATAGATAACCACCAAGGCCCCTGTGCTACCTGCCTGATGGTGGGGTCTGGTGCCTCTGGACCCCAACATTGAAGCCATGTCATTGGCCCACATTAGCAGTGGCTGTGGAAGAGGAGATTGGCTCGTGGTTGGAGTGCTGGCATAGGAAAGTGGATCCACCTCTTCCACGTCCCCTCACCTCTGCCCTTTTGCCTCCCTGACTGTTCACCAGCACCTCCGTCCAGTGATCTAAGGTTTTGCTGCTGCAGATGTTCCCCTTCACCCTCAGGTTGCACATACCCACCAGAACGTGGACCGTACTGGATCCAGCCATTTTTTGATGCCCTCCTTCAGCCTTTTCACGAGTGCCTGCACCTCTGGTGCAAGTGGCTTGCCTCAGCCAGGAACAATGATCCCCTGGAACTTTTCAATTTCATTCTCAAGCTCCTTCACTACAGGGATCGCCTGGCTAAGGAGGGCATCGCCAGCGCTGACGCTCTTGGTGGCCTTGAAGAATGGCTTGAGGACCACCAAGATCTGGGAGATGGTATCCCACTCCATTTTGCTAAGGGGGCCGCTGATCCCAATCTCCCCAACCAAGGCCATCTTATGGATGGCCTTCTGTTGCTCGACCAGCCTTTCCAGCATCAGGTATGTGGAGTTCCACTGAGTTTCCACATCCTGCATGATTTTGTGCTGTGGGATGCTCATCTCTGCCTGTTTGTCCTGCAGCATCTTGCCCACCTTGATGCTTCAGTGGAAGTAGCCCACCACCTTCCTGCATTTCGAAATAAGCTGGCTGATAGTGATGGCACCATCACTGGGAGCCCTGTCCCCCTCTAAGGCATCCCTGACTTCTACAAGGTGGAACTTGTATGCCACACAGTGGATGCCAACAAAGTTGGCATAATGCACCACCTTGCTCATATTGGCCCTGTTGTCGGTGGTGATGAACCTATGGGTGAGCTCGCCCTGCCCAACGAGCCACCCCTGCACCATGCAGTTCATGGTCATCATGATCCCCCCTGCCATGTGGGACTCATCCATCACCTCCGCTTGAAGGAGAGTCCACCAATGCCCTGACTGATTGCACCAGTGCCCTGTGAGGGAGAGGTAGGAATGATCTCCACCTCAGCTGCTCCAAATGTCCTAAGTGAAGTGCAAGGCTACCAGTGGACTTTCCTTCTGCAGCTCCTCTCTCAAGTACTCCCTGAATGCCATACAGGTAGGGCACCACCATCCTGCTAAAGATGGTGCATACAGGCACTTGGTAGGATATGAGCCACCTGAACCATGGACGCTTAACAAAGGAGAAGGGCTGACCATCCAGAGCAAGCATCTCCCCAATGCTTTGGGTGATCTCGCTCACCTTTGGCATACGCCTCCCATTGTCTCTGCCTTTCCCCCAATGGTCCAAGGTGGTTTGCCTCTGCTTCTTGGGGGTGGGGGCTTTGGAGTGAAAAGGGGACTTCTTTTTTGACATGCTCCCACTGGTGCTAGGCTGAGGAGGAACAAGGGCATGGGGGTGCTGCCTCCTGAGACGCAGCAGCATTGCCTTGGTGGTGAAGTGTTTCACCTCCTTTGCCCCAGATGATCTGTCTTCGGCAGTGCTGGCAAGTAGCATACCTGGGATCATCTGCCACCTCAAAATGATCCCACACTACAATACCTACCCACTGCCAGGAAAGAGGATGCATCTATGTTTGGGGCGGGGGGAACTTACAGCTCTCCCTGTGCCCCCTCTCCCTTCTCTGTCAGAAGACCTGGCACCTGCCTTTCCAGCTCACTTCATAATGTTTGGTGTGCTGCAAAGTGTGTGTGTGTATGCATGTGTGTGTCATATGTTGTGCTTTCCTTCACAGTGATGACACACTGTTAGGGAAAACAAATATTTTTGTTGGGGGGAAAGAATCAAGACAGACTAACAAGAACAAATAAGAGGATTTGAGGGAAGAATAAGTTGAGAGGAATGGATAGGGATAACAATAAAGACTGTAGGCAAGGGTAAGTAGGAAAGTATTGGCTACAATTTACAAGACAGACTAGCTAGTAAGAGACTACCTAGCAAGCCAGAGCCTTTCAGACGCTGCTGCTCCAAGAGAGATAGTTCAAAAAAGACACAGATCAATTCAGACACAGCTTTATATGTTGTTTCTATGCCCCTCCCCCAGAGCACTGTGAATGGAAGGGAAATCAGAGGAAGATCACAATCACTAGCCAGCTACAAATGTCAATATCAGAGCAGTCTTTCCCCACCCTCATATATAGAAGATCACCCCATCCCCCTTCCCTCTTCTCAGTGTCTTTTTGCTGGAGGCCTTCTGAATCTCCGAATCTCTCTCAATTGATTTGGAGGCTTCCGATTCGATTTGGACCTTTTAAAGGGTCTCTTAATTCAATTCGGATTTGGAGATTCAGCCACCAAATCGGGACAAATCTCCTCCGAATTGAATTGGCTGCTGAAGCTTTGCACAGCAAAGACCTATTATGTCAGGAGGCTGTTGTGTTGCCATATGTAGAGATTGTAAGCTTTTTTGGTGGAACAACTAATATTTTACCATACAAAATGGGGCCCAAATCCTTAGTGGTGGCCTCTATATACTACCATAATAAGATTGATGGAATTAATAATAAAATATATATGAAAAAGGCACTGTTAAGTATATGAGAGGTATCTTGATATTTTTCTTCCATTCCCAGTTATCCAGCTAGAAAAACTACCACTGAGGGAGCACATGTCCACATTTTGGCAAGGTACCAGAGTTCTGTGTTAGACCTACTAAACTCCTGAGAAAAGAGTTGTAGCAACTTTTTGTAGCACCTCCATTTTCACTGAAGCCTCCCTCCAAAAGTACTTTCTGAACCCTCCCTTCCAAAGTACTCACCCTGCTAAATTTATGACCTACTGTGACGCCTAATATTTCATTTGTATCTGATGTTATTTCATTGCCTGAAAGTAAGAGCTAGAGCTACAGGCATCCTGAATTAGGGAGACTGCTGCTGTGCTCAAGAAGTGAGTTTTAATTTCTTAAATTCACGATGTAAACACTAAATATATAAAACAGAAACAAATGAATAATTAAATATATACCCCTAAAATGATTAAAACTGATGTGCAAAAGAATTCCAGACTAAAAAAAGGACTTGTTTGCTGTTTGTGAGTCTAATAATCAACAGTTACATTTTCCCTCTGGACTTCCACTGAAGAAACTGGTATTAGAAGAGGGTACATTTCATAGATGAGGCCATGAATTTCAAAGGACCTGAAGCGTCCTAGGCTCCCCTAGGCTCCTTTGAAAATTCCAGCTTTCATGGATGGTTCTTCTTAAATTAATCATGCTATATCGTAGGCCCCTGCTACACATTGTATATACTATGCAATTAACTGGGTAATCGACAATATATTTAAACCAGCCACACATGCAAAGTAATTATCACATGGTAAAAAGGACTACCCAGATATAAAAAGAGCCAACCAGTTATAATGTTAGTGCTTGAAAATGTCTAACAACTTTATAGCTGGTTCCCATCTAGCTTTAATTTGAATGTGTAGCATGGCCCATATGTACATGTTTCTAATGCAACTTTAGCATTTGCCTTTTAACTCCAGTTCCCCTGAAACTGCATGCCAAACTTACCCAAGAACTGCAAGGTAGGAGTCTCATCTCAAGTCTTGATAAATCTGACCTAACCCAAGTCAATTGCAAAGCACTCCAAGGCACTATTTTAATTGTCAATATTCTGTAGTTTCTAGCTGCTCTGTTTTTTTTCCATCATGGATAAATGAAAGATTAAACAGACTGATTAACTGTGTGGTCCATTTAACTGGAACTTTGCTTTGAAGTTGCAATGAACTGTTCCTGTGAATCAGTAAATGAGAAATTCTCAGAATGCGTTGGAAAAGTCACTTCTTATTTCTGACTCCCCTAAACCAATTAATGTTTTTAACATTTATGACTGGGAATTCTCAGGAGTAGGATTTAAAGGACTTCACCTATGATATTTTTTGCAGGAACAAGAAGATTTCTTAACACATTAAATACTTTTAGAAATGAAATGCCTACTACATCTAAAAATACCAGAGCAAAACCAGGTAGACAGATGCTTCATTTTTAACTACTACACAGTTAACCATAGAGGCCACATCCAGATGAGCGCGGCCGTGTGGTATGTCATGCCACAGACATGTCTGTGGCGCCGCATACTGCACATTCAGTTGCTCTCTCTACTGCAAGGGAGAAGCGTGGAGGGTTTTTCTGGCCCCTGGATATCCCACAGAAAAAAAAGTGGAGCAGCACATGTTGGGGGGGAGTGCATGCAGTTCAAAATCAGAGCTGGGCTAGTTGTAGCTCCACTGCAGCTGCTAGCCAGGCTCTGTGTGGCAGAATTGCTGCTGCTGCTACATCCCCAGGAGGCCCCCAGGTAAGGCTGTTGGGGCCAGCCCAGTGCTGGCTCCAGCTTCCCCTATCACCTCTGGGGTAACTTGCCGTGCACCAGAGCGCTCATGGCACAGATGTTCCCCAGCGATAACTAGCGATGGCACAAGGTGCACTGCCGCTAGTTGTCCCCTGCGAACCAACTGTCCACATCGTATGTGGACACTGCCAAAGTGGGCAAAACAGAGTCTAAGCATCAATGATAACATTTTACAGATGGCAAAATGGAGTGTAGTATCAAATATAACATTCTACAGTAGATCTGCACCATGCTAAACCTTAAACCTTAAAAGAGACTACTGCAAACCATGACAAATCAGTATTACTTAGGAGATCAGTTCTTAATTCAGCAAATGGCTCAATTGTTTTGAGAGCTAGGTGTAGTACTTACTGGATTGAGGACAACTGTGAAGAACAACTCTCCACCTTGGATACTCTTGTCTAGTTCTTTTGGACCCCCAGGATACTCCTTGTAGAAAATGGTGTGAGTGAACAGACCACAAGTTTGCCTGGGGAGAACCTATGTAAGGATGGGGCAATCAAGAAAAAGAATTCTCAAACCAAATTATATAATTCGTTTTGTACGATAGCAAGCTTAAGATACACTTTACTGTTTGCCTTCCTTCATGTAAACCAGTGATACTTAACCAGGTACCTTTGAAGGGTGCTGTGGGATGCAAAGAGGTAAGCCCAGACTCATCCCTAGCCAGCTGTTCCTCCTTCCCCCCATCCTTCAGCCCTTGTATGTGGAAGTAAAGTACTGCAAACAAATAAATTGTTTTTTAAATGGGTGCTGCTCAATTAACAAAACTTATGGAAAGGTGCTTAAAGTCTAAAATGCCGAGACCCACTGATGTAAACCATATGCAAGTTTGGCACTGCAACTTTGCCTGAAGTCAATAATTAGAAAGACAGTTTAGCCAAGACCTAGGGAAATCTACAGACACAATAATACATAACAATACATATGGAAACAAACAAGAAGTGTTTTTTGTATTATGGTGGAACCACCAGTCAAATTACGTGATCCATAAATTCATGGCTTTAATATATGAAACACAAAAAGTACTGTCAAAAACTCAGATGTAAATGAGAGTCTCCAAAAATATTTCTATACTTGCAATATAATATAACAGTACAGTGTTTTAAAGCTGGTCACTAATACTTTCTTAGTTCCAAAAGGTGAGGTCATAATTTGAAAAATTACTTTATAAAAAAAGGAGGAATATATTCTGTATTTATTGACTGCAGTTCATCTTCACTCATCTTTCCATTAAACAGTGTCTTTATTTAGTGCCAAACCTGGAATCTGAAAATCAAAGTTTCTTCCTTGACAATAATAACTTTACATTCAAATCTAATTTTGTTGATGATGCATAGGCTACAACAGAATTCAGTTCACACTCATTCAGCTGTGCCAGCGCTGCAAGTCTAATGACGGTAGAACATAGTACAAAGCTTATTTTTTCCCACTGAAGTGAGAATGTATGACTAAATACTCAATGGAGTAAAAAGATATTATCTCACTTCATACAGCAGAACTGCCTTTGAAAAATTTCCTTTTCTCCCAAACTTGGAAAATATTTATGTGGGAAAGAGATGTATTTCCATCATAGGGACATGTTTTCATATAGAACCAACATCTTAATGCTGAACTAATATCTATATTTCAAGTCCTTGTAGTTATCAACTTTCTGAGTCCAGTCTGACAAGTTTACTGTATGCTGGAATAAACTTTTAAGGCCTAAAACTTTTCCTGCAAGTACCTTACTTGAAAGAGACTGTCTTTATATAAGTCTTTATTGTGGCAATTTTTTTCAGCATCCTTCAAAGTCATGTATTCTACAATAAGCATAGACCATAAACCCCACTTAATCATAAAATATATGGAATTCATTTTTTTTTATAATTATACACATGTTTTTTAAAATTCTCCTGGTTTCCCATACAAAATACCAGTGCAATTCTATACAAAGGTACGGAGCAAAGATATGGGGGGGGATGACAACTGCTTCCAATAAATCTTATATAATGACTTTATTACTGCATGTGTTCATCACTCCAAGCCTGCAGATGCAGAAAATTAATGCATTTGTTCTGAGGAACAGAAAGCCTGTGATTTCTGAGACAGGTGGTCTTATACCGATTGTTCTCGGTAAATTGATTTTCGGCCCTGCTATCCTGTTTTTCAAAGCTTATGTTAAACCTTATTCAATATGTGTCTTCAAAATGATATGTTTTTACAAAAAATTATGAAAAGAGATATTTGGAGAGTCCTCAGAATCAATCAACCCTATTCAAATTCTTCATGCCCCCTGAGCATATTTACAAACCTATTATTTTACTTACAGCTAATGCTCTGAGGAGAATAAGCTTGAGCTCAAATCTATAGGGTGTCCATTTTTTCCCTGGCTGGCTGCAGATCATTTTAACAGACTTCTCCCAAAAATAGATCCATACATTAAATTTTGGAGTACTATTAATTAATTTGCTGAGAAAACTGGTATCTATGGTAACTCTTTAGGTCAATGCCATAATTACAGGATAAAGTACATGGAAGTCTTAACTAGTCCTAATGCACCAGGCATCCTCCGAATCTCAGAACCCAGATATAAAACAGTATAGTCATCTGTGATTGTTCTCCCTCCCTCACGCTCATATACACACATTTAAAATAGAAGACATGCAAAAATATACTGTCAAGTATAGGATGCTTATATGCTGTTTTAAAACATTTAATTGACAATAAAAATATAAGAACATATGACTAGGATATCACAAATACGAAACACCCAGAAAATATCTAATGCCTCAATGATTATTGCCTAAATCACTTACTTGGTAGTATGCATTTTAGTTATCACTAAGCCGATATCAGTAAATAATGCAGTCACTATCTGACAAGAAGAATTACAGGAGGTACATGGCATTAGGTGATTTCAGCTCAAGTGGAATAATTCCATAGGAGGCTTTCTTTCCTGCAAGCTTCTGGGCATCTGGCCAGCATTCAGCCTGGTCACTTGGGCCAAAAGCCTGGCTTTGGGTGTGAGTCACCGTAAGAAGTGCACTGCTACAATGTGAGGGAAGTAGGTAGATAAGGGCCATTTCGAAGAATGTAAGTGGAAGAACTTTATTGTTTTGGGATGAAGGGTGTCAACTGGCATAAGTCTTTGGCAGTAAATGGAGCTATGGCAATTTGCACCAAGATGAAAAAAATCGTACTCTCGATACTTTACTTCATGATGAAACACTGACATTTTTCATCACAATTTTAAACCAGCATGGATAGCTGGAACTGAACAGGTTTGCAATCTCCAAAAGTTGTTCCTAGTATCAGAAACTGTGCCACTTTCAACAGCAGTATGGTAGCTGCCAGCAACAAGTATACATATGCTAATTTTACTTAATAAGCTATTATCATATATAACTGAAACTATTTATGTATTGCAATATGTGCTTCTCACAATATGAACTTTCAGGATGCTGTGCTTTTACCCTTTTTATATTAGTCATAAAAAACTAAAGATAATTAGAGCATAGAAATCACAAATACAACTCACCATGATATTTTTGTGGATGAAGCCCCGTCTGTATCGTGCAGGTTTCAGATGTGGATATTCCTCTGTGCTGGTGATTCTGATATTCCAGACTTTCTTCCAGGCATCATAGAGCTGAACATGTACTGGGTAGACCCCAGAATGGTGCGGAGCCACCGCATAGCCCATATCAGTTGGAATTCCATGCTCCTGAAACACAGCAGGAAAAAGGACAGCTCTAGGAAATTAAAAGAGTTCAGAATTGTTTGGGCAGCTTTCAAACATGTTTTAGGGAGGTAGCAAAGACGTGCCTAAAATTCAGGCAGGGATGATCTGAAGATGTGTGAAAGTATGAAAAGGTAGGGGGCACTCTCAAGATGAAAAAAGCAAATAAACTAACCTATGATTAGGGTTTAGAAATAAGGAGAAAGAGAAAAAAATAGAGTTGTAAAAAGCACTTAATTTGGTTTTATGCCAATCACTCAAAAAATAAGATTGTATTTTATCAAGCTTTCAAGAGAAATTTGCTCATAGATTGAAAATGTATACAGTATATTACTTATTCATTTCATTTCAAGGACATCTACAGTTTGAAGTCTACAAATATGCATCTAATCCCACATGAGCCTCTACAAAGCCTGTACTTGGGCAAACTTCTGCTGACCTCTGCAAAACTGATATAGTGTGCTTTCTCTTCAGATCACATAATCTTTCAACTGCTACAGCTGAACTTAACTGCACACTCCATTTCCTCTCCAGCCCACCAATGCCAAAAGCAGTCCCACGGTCTTAGAAAGTGTCCCACTACAAAAGTAGAAAGATTAGCTATTTAGAAAGCTGCTGGATGTGGCAAATGCTTTGTCTGCCACTGCCAAATACTTTCTTTTTAGGGTTTTTTTTTTGTTTGAGAATATATGCAGATATTTTATACAGTTTATATGTAGGTTCTGCTGCTTTTTCCTCTTTCTGTTCAGACAGGATACTTTTTCTTTCCAGTCTTGCCTGTAAATACATGCTTGACAAAAATATCTAATGTGCTCTGGAGAAGGTTGGTAACTTGCTTCCTTCCTTCCAGGAGGGGCTTGGGGAACATAAGAATCACAGGAAAGTAGGGTTGGAAGGGACCCCATGAGGTCATGAAGACCAGACCCCAGCTCAAGGCTGAACAGTCCCTGACTAAAACATCCCAGCTAAGAATTTCCAGGAATGGAGCTTTCACATCATCTCTAGGTAGCCTGTTCCAGTGCTCAACTGTCTTCATAGAAGTTCCTTCTAATTTCCAACCTAAATTTTCTCTGCTGCAGCTTGAGGCCATTGATCTTAGCCCTGTCCCCTATAGCCTTAGAAAAAGCTCATTGACCATCCTCTCTATAATCAACCTTCAAGTATCTGAAGACTGTTATCAACACCGCCCCCCCAGTCTTCTCTTCCCCAGATTAAATAACCCTAGCTCTTTTAGCCTTTCCTTGTAAGTTTCATCTCCCAGGCTTCTAATCATTTTGGTCACTCTGTGCTGGACTCTGCAAACTGTCTACATCCTTCTTGAAGTGTGTGGCCTAAAACTGGACAGTGCTAAATAGTGCAGAGGAATCATTTCCCTTGATTTGTAAGTGACACCAATGTTAGGGGTCAAAGAGCACATAGCCCAGGAAGGGCATGTGTCAGCATGTCATCTGTGAGGCATGGGAGTGGGTAGTGGGAAGGAGGAAGTTCAAGTTATTGGCCCTTAAGGCAATGACCATGGACACTTGTGGTCATAAGAGTGAGACCAGGCATGGGAAGCCCTGGGGAAGCCTCTCTTTTTCTTTAAAGACAACAACATCAAGGCATGACAAGAGTGAAGGGGAGATATCCCAAGGAGTCACAAGTTGGCAAGGGCTGAGCAGTAGGGCTGTGCAAATCTTCGGTAGCTGATTCGATTCGGAGGAGATTCGGCCCGATTCGGCGGCCAAATCTCCAAATCTGAATCAAATTGGGAGACCCATTAAAAGGTCCACATTGAATCAGAAGCCCTCAAATCAATTCAGAAAAGATTTCAGAAATCAATTCAGAAAAGATTTCAGCGCTGACTCAGAGATTCAGCCATAAACTAAACAGGAAGCAGTCCTCGACCACACTGGAAACAGCTCCCTCCAGTTGGTAAGTCTGTTGTGGTAGGCGACGGGAGAAGGGAATGGGTGTGTGTGGGGCAGATCAATGCCCCCACAGCGAGGGAGGGATTGGGGCTGGGGCAAGCTGCTCAGCTGGGGGGGGGGATCTGCACAGGGAGGGCTGGGCCAGGCTGCGCTTTGGGAGGCTAGCCCCAGCCGCAGCCCGGAGCACAGCCCTGGCTCTACCCGCCCTGCAGAATGCAGTGGAGTGGGGTCTATGGGTGGAGCTGCAGCCACCCTAAAATTCCCCTATAGCCCCTACCACTGGCCCCTACCTGATCAAGGGTGCACACATCTGCCCCCATAGCCCCTGCTCCCAGTGCTGCTTCATCTGCATCCCACACTCCCCCCACCCCAGCTGGACAAGTGGCGGGAGGGCATAGCCCCCGCTCCCAGCACCTTTCACCACCTACCCGGAGCATAACCTGGCCTAGCCTGCCCTGTGCAGATCCGGGGCACATGCTCACTCTCATGCCCTTGCAGATTGGCAGTGGCAGGAGGCCCCCTCCCTGAATCCCGCACTCTCTCTCCCCAGCAGGGAAGCTTGTACCAGCCCCCGCCCCGACTCCAGCCCGAGCCCCAGCCCCAATCCCTCCGTCACTGTGGGGGCATTGATCTGCCCCCCTCCCCACACTCCTTCCCTCCTCCGTCCTGGAGGCAGCAGTGTCCAGCATGGTTGAGGGCTGCTGCCTGTTTAGTCTATGGCCAAATCTCCACATTGGTGCTGAATCTTCGAATTCGGCCAGATCAAATCAGGACAGTGACTTGAATTACCGAATCGAATCACTGTCCCTCTGAATCGGCTAAATCCAAATCCGAAATGAATACTTGCCACTTCACACAGGGTTACTGAGCAGCCACCAGGGAGCATCGTGACAACCCCTGGGATCAACATTTGTTACAATACCCTATTCACAGAGCCTGTCACCTTATCATAGAAGGAAATCAGATTGGTTAGTTCTGACTTGTTTCTGGTGAATCCATGCTGGCTGTTCCTGAAAACTTTGTTCTCCTCTAGGTGCTTCACAATGGATTTCTTCAGGATCTGCTTCACAATCTTTCTAGGACTGAGATAAAGGTATAAAAAAAGCTTGGGGCAGATTGAGACCAGCTCCATGATCTGGAGGAGGAGCTTGAGCCGGAAGAGTGAGGTCCATGAGAGGTGAATCAAATCCTAAATAATCATCTATAAAGGTAAATAAGCAGAAAGGGATTTTGAACAGATATTTTATTTTGTGCTTTGCCTAGATCTATAAATCCCTCTTGCACTCTAACAGCAATTGTTTTAACAATACCCTGGCAAGGTCTGTATCTTATTTGCTTCAACTATTACATGACTCTGAATGGCTGAACTAAGAGCCAGAGAATCCCATAAGGCTGGAGAGGGTAGACTTAAGCTACTGGAAATCTATATTCCACATTGGTCTTGGGGCCTACAGCAGCTTTGCCAAAGAGCCCTACTTTCAAAGGGAAGAATGAGCCCAAGGGCCACAGAAAAATGTTTGGAGGTTACTTAGACCCAGAAGATCTTAGGCACACTAGGTCCAAGGTCTACATTGCTGCATAGAAAGAGGATACATTTATACAATTGCACAAGACGTGAAAAGAAAAAAACCCCCAAACCAACCAACCTTCATGAAGCCTTTCCACCACCATTTTTTTCAAGTTCTTAATGAATTAATATTTCTCTCTCTCTCTCTGTTGAGGTAGAGGAAGAGAGAGAAAGCATGTGAGAGAGCTATATATAGATATGTACAAATATGCTGAAGATCTTGAAATCTGACAAATATTCATGGCTGACCACCAAGGACTTTATTTTGTTGTCATCTTCATGTACAATTATTTCCTTTTTTTACACCTAGAAACCTGTTTACATGTAAAAAACCATCAGTGAGTTTCATGTAAATGTTAATAGTCTTGCCTGACTAATTTAAAAATCCTAGATAGTCAGCCCCGTCATTAACGGTGGTTAATTTGTCCCTCCAAAACCACACTGTTGTTTTTCTACACTTTAAAATGCCAACTCCAGCAATTTCAAATCTCTCTCTTCCTTTTTGCTGATTTAATTATTGATTTTGGTTATTTCTGGTTGTAAATCTATTTCTGTGCTAAAGTTAAGTTCTGAAATTATCCTATATCAGCTACTGAGGTTTCAACCTGTAGCTCATAGACAGAATGATAAGTTGTTCACAAGCCAAAGAGGGAAGAATTTTCCTTAAGCTCCAACTTCTTTTCGGATTTATTCAGAAGTACTCTAGAATAATATCTGCTACCTACATGTACAATACACAGGGATGAAGCTAAGTGTCAAATTATTTAAAACATCAATAATCCCACAAAAAAATGAAAAGAGCATCTTCTTAATACTTAAGAATTGGTACTGAATGGCTTATTATAACAAAACATAACCTCACTTTTCTTCTGAGACACAATCAGTTGATATTGCAATGGCATCATTTTTCTTACTGGTTTTTATACACTTTTGTCTTTTGTAGTGAATTTAGTGCTTGCAGATGCTGGCATATTGACATCCCTGAAGAATGAAGCTTGCTTTTTATCCACAAAACAGCAGTGGCTGTAGCAGAGCAAATTTCTTCAATATATTTTGCTAATATTCCTTAACCCTGACAACCTTTTTCAGTGAAATGGCACTTCATTTTCTGAAATCACTTCCCCTACTTGCTGGGCTGCAACTGCCAATAATGATCCTAACTGACAGAATTATTTTTGTGATAACTTATCCACCAGGGGCTGGACCTAGACTACTAGCTCTTTCACACAGGACACATGTACATGGTCATCATACCTGATCTATGATCATGTGGCTTGCTTTAAGCCACGTGACTGTAGATCATATGTGGCATGTGCATGTGTTCACTGGTGCCAGGAGTCACATGGGAAACCTGATTTAAGTAAGTCAGGGTGGGAGTTGGGGAGGGGTGGGCTGCTGGGTCTGTGGGTGGGGTGTCCATCACGAGGGGGAGGTGCTGGGAGGCTAAAAACAGCTCGGTCATGGTGTAGGAGGATCAGAAAAGTGCACCCACAGATGTTCCAAATGTG